CTGGACTGCTCTCCGAATGTTGGACTAATTCAGAACCTTCTAGATCTCTGTATTTGACTTTACGAATATGCTCAGATATACGTCGTTCATATGAACATGTTTCTCCAACATAGATATCCCCACATTCGCACGGTATCCCATAAAAAATAGATCTCAAAACAAAATGAGCCATTTTGTAAAGAATTCAATTATCTGTTCACTGGTATGTTTTTAAAATTTTTTGAACAAAATGTCTGAGTCAGAAAATTGAAATTAAAATCTTTATATAGAAAATTAATTTTTTCTCCAAAACATAAGTCAGATTCGTGATCAGCATGAAAATTTGCGTCTAGTGGTGTGCCCCTATCGATTTTCTAATGAAAAAAGCTCAAAAAAAACTTGATCAAAGAAGTATCACATTATGTGGACAAGCCGATCAGTGCCAGAAAATGTTTCAAGTTTCGCACCAGTGTACACCCGTGCCAAACAAAGAATATCACTCCACACTGATGCGCACCAGTACCGTACAATTATCGATAAAAACTTTTTTTTAGTGTTTTCTTTCGTATGACAAGAATGAAGTCCTATCTAATCCCAAAACAGAAAACCAAAGCACTCTCTTTTGTTTTCGGATACAAATGGACTTAACAGCACAATCTCCTTTGCATTTACGCGGTTAATATTTTTCAATCAATGAAACTTCATCTTGTGTCTCTATCAAGGATTGTGTAGAATGAATGAATTGTGAAAGAATGAATCATCTATTCTCCTCCAGCATTCAACCAATAAGCTTCGAGGATAAGCTAGCGGAGAGCTCTCCTCTACCTTCTCTTCTAACTTATCTTAACCCATCAGCATACGGAAGGGCTAGCGCTTCTTTAAACAAAGATAGCTGTGTTGGATTAAATAGCGGGAAGTATATTACGGACTGTCCAACCTCGAGACGACTAATCATATTAACAGTAATACAGAAGTATCGGAGCGGAAATCTCGACGGAATTAAGATAAAATGTCTTACTAACGACCCAAAAAAACAAACCACAATCCTTTTCGCAGACGTTAGCTGTCGCTTTAAATCACTAAGGGCACACAATACAAAAGAGACCGGTAAGAGTTACAGGATACTTATGATCATCTATCAGAAAAACGCTCTGTCCTCAGGGATACATGAAGGATCACTAAAAAGCATTCTTCCTTGTCATGCTCTAATTCTAGACCCCTTTATCTCTTATTTAGAATCCCATTATTGCACACTAGTGTTGCCTAGAACGGCAGCCAGGTCTTTGCGGCAAATTCTTCATTTAACAAAAGTATCCGATTTGCGGCAAATGCAAACTTTCCAATACTCGGTTGTGCATAACCTTTTGCTAGAGGGTTAGCATCATGATTTCAAGTTGAATACCTTTTTAAAAGTAATTACATATTCTGAAAGTCTGTGAAATTTTCTATCACTCTGTATAATTAGGTTTCAGTTTAAACCTATTAATCACCAAAATAAATTGAGTGCAATGAAGGCACCCTCATCACCAGATTCCCGAGAACATGATTTTCTTATTGTCATCAAAATTAGTTTTTTAAGTTTTCTATCACTATAGAATGACCTTTTTGAAAAAGCAATTATAGATTCTGATAGAGCTTGAAATTCTCTATGTTCCTGTATATTTGTTAACTATCTTGCATCTATATCATGTTCTTGAGAATCTGATGATGAGGGTGCCTTAATTGCACTCAATTTATTTTGGTGATTAATAGGTTTAAACTGAAACCTAATTATACAGAGTGATAGAAAATTTCACAGACTTTCAGAATATGTAATTACTTTTAAAAAAGTGTATCTTTATAGTAGAAATATGTTCAAAATACCGAGTTAAATACGATTTAATTCTATATCAAAATACCGGATTTAATTCTGTATCTAAATTTTAAAACTGTAACCTTATCTATCACAATGATGACTGTAGCCCTAGATTCAGTTTTTTACGGCCATTAATTTGATATAAAATTCATTAGGTATTCAACTTGAAATCATGATGCTAACCCTTTAGCAAAAGATTATGCACAACCCGGTATATGTAAGTTACTCGAGCTGATCGAAAATACATCAAACCAGTTTTTGTCCAACAATATTTTATGAAATATTCATTATTCTCTAAATATTCTACATATTTTTTAAATAGTGAATCACAATCTGAGTCAAATCATCTATTTGAATGGATAAAAGAAGAATATCAACGAAATGGTCGCATTGAATGTCTGATGAATCCAGCAAAATTCTACTCAATTGAACAGAGTTACATTAATTTAGCTATCGTCGAAATTAAAAAACAACAAGAAAAAGAAAAAGAACTTCGAGATGCTTCCAAAGTTGATGCTTCCAACGTAGATGCGCTTATGGGAAGTTTTGAAGAGATTTATGGCACAAAAACTATCATTGATATCAAAAACATTTTTGAAACATGCAAAAATCAACAAAATCAAGTGCTGGTGTTTGGACGTGCTGGAATCGGCAAATCGACATTTTGTCGATATATTGCTTATCAATGGGCGATGGGTTCATATTGGACACAATATCAGTTATTGGCTTTGATTCCATGACATCGCTTATCTGCTAATCGATATCCTCCTTTACCACTTGGTCAGAGTT